ATTACTTAAGATTTTTAATCCTTTAAAGTTTTTGCACATATCAATAATTTGTTTATCAAGTGTCGAGATCTCTACTAGATATAATCTTAGGATAAAACTTACACCATCAATATACTTTGTTCTTATTCGACAAAAGAAAATTAGTTGTTCAGACAAGAACACGCATCACAGAATGAAAAAAATCGTTATTTACCTCCGAAAGTTGTTCAATCAACTCTTGAAACTTCATATCGATGACAACATAAAAGAATTTTGTATAAAAGTGATGCAAATTTGTCTTCTTTGAGCGTCAGTTGAGAACATAAATATCATACTTTTTATAGAAAATATGATATTTTTCGAAGAAATAAAAATAAATAATTTGATCCATTGTCCCTCATTTTATGAAATTTTTCTTTATATATTTCACTTACCTCATGACATTCACAATATTTTGATTTTTTATTTTTAATTAAAAGGGAAAAATAAGTATTATTTTGGTAAAAATGGCAAACTAATGGATTGAAAGAAGAATGGATTCATGGCTTGTGATAAGACATCTATAAATATTTGATTGAATAAGAGAGTAATTGGTATATACTATGGCCCTATTTGGGAGATATTTTGATTTTTCTACAGTAAATCAATTCTCATTTTTAACCACACATTTTTCAATAACATAATATTTTCCATCACATCAATAATTTTTTCTTCTTTTTCAACCACACAGTTTCCATCATATCACTATTCAAAATCAATTCTTCCCCCAAAAATCTCTCTCAAACAAGCTCTATAAATAGAACTATGATGGGATACCAATGCTTTTGATAAATAATCCAAAAATAGACATTTGATTTAAATATTGAGGTAGAGAGAGAATTTGAGAATTTTTAAAATTCTAAATTATGATCCACTTTAACTTTGAAATGTATTATTACATTCTGCTTAAAAAATAAATTATTTTAATTTCGATCCGAACATGATCTATTGGTTAAACCAATGACTCGATAATCCTAAGCTTTGACCGATTCAATAACCAGCTCGGATCTTATAACTACGAATACAATCATTCATATCAAAAACTTTCAGTCTAAGGAAATTCGTTACATATTGTTTTACCGGATCTACCGTTGGTAGGTTTTACAAAATGTTTAACATGAGCTGTGCTTGATAATCTAACGGTTTATTTTGATAAAAAATAAAAACCGAGCGAGGACAAGCGGCGCTAATTAGTTAAAGTTGATGGCCAAAATGTCGAAGAAAAAAAGTTGGAGACAAAGATGCAAAAGAGGTAAAATGTAGGGATGCAAGAAAAAAACTCAATGAACTTCTGCTCGTCGGACG